CCTTTTTAAAATGCCATTTTCAAATAAACAAAATCATAGCATATCCATTTATATAAATAACAGGCTCTTTTTTCTTAATTTGTAGGGAATTTAATAGCCAGCCTGGCTCATTCTAGAGCTGGTATTCCAGAAGCATTCACCACATTAGGAACAATCCAACGGCTCTGTTACCATTTGCACTCAATACGAGAAGAGGTAAAAAAAAAAAAATTCTAAACATATGCTAAAAAATATTGTGGTTTTTCTCATTCTGTATAATAATTTCTCCACAAACTGACTGATGCTCCTAACTCAAACGAATTCCCTTTTAAAAATAATAAGTATTTTTTAATCTTTTTATTAACATGTAATATTTGTACATTGTTATGGGGGTAGGGTGCAGTATTTCAACACATACTTTAATTTTACCAGGCTGGGCAGAACATATACTCAGCATAAATTGATCAAGCAAGGCAACTACCTTTCCATTTTCTTGTGAGTGTGGATCTTACCAGCTCCTCTCTTTCAGTTCTTTGTACAGCATCTAATATATAATTATGAACTATACTACACTAAAGCTAGCTACTTCCGTTTGTTTTTTGGTACTCATTATCCAACCTGCTTCAATCCTCTTGCCCCTACCTCCTCAGACTTTGGTAATCACTCTTCTAAGTGCCTGACATATAGAGGGCTGGGTGAGGCTGAAGCCAGTAACCATGACTCCCATCGCAATCTCTCACGTGGCTGACAGAGTCTCAAACACTTGAGTCATCTTCTGCTACATCTCAACATGTATTAGTATGAAGCATAATTGGAAGTTTTGAGACTCAAATTGGCGCTATGTATGATATGGGATGTGGTTGTACCAAGACGTGGCTTAACCTATACCACAACGTCTGCTTCCCCTGGATTAGAAACCTTAAGAAAATCTTAAAAACAAAACCAAAAAACAAAACTTGTTCATTCTTTATTTAGGTCCGTACAGCTTGCTCTTGTGCCCTTGGCTACTTAACTTACAATGCAAATGCTTTCCGCATCCTACTGAGGGAGTGCAGGAATAAACCCAATCAGTTCCTTCGTTTAACAAATAACATCAACAGAGATGCAAATATTAACCCAGCATTTTTAAAGGAATTTCAAATACAACAAACAGTGGGACTTCCTTCTCTGAGGTATTGTGCCTTTAACTGAAGTTGCAGTTGTGAAATCCTTGACAGAAGTGACTTTTAAGATTGTTTAATCCCAAGCAAAGTATGACAGAATTAGGCCTTGATATGAGAATATCCTCTGGATACTGGAGGGGAAACTTCTAATATCTGTTGTCAAACTCTGTTTTCATTCCAACTCACTACCCGAATGGAGGGTGCAGCCAGGAAACAAATCAGGTCTCGGAGATCCTGTCTAGCCTGGATTGTTAATTTTTTTGGGAGACTAGTAACCTGCACATCTGATCTAGGAAACGGTTTTTAAGTAAACAGGGTTCATTTGAGAATTCTGAGACAGTCTGGAAACATTACCAGGAGGTCTTCAGGGCTTGATACAAGACTAAACCAACCCCAGCCCTTCTACTCTGGGTGGAAATGGGGCTAACTCAGACCTGCTGGTTGAAGTTAGCGTGAAGTCTGCCAGCCATTTACTCACAAGACTTTTGCCTCCATGTTGCAGTTGCATCATGAAGGTAAGTCTGGAAAAATGGAAAATCCACATGTAGGTAACCCAAGCACATATATGTTGTTAACTTTACAGTATTGGAAGAGAAAAAGGGGTCTAGGAGTGTAACATGGCTTTATAAATCAATTTTTAGTGTAGAGAAAGATGGATCTATTTTTAGAGCCAACTTAAGTTTTAATTCTTTGAAGAATCGAAAATCCAAACTAATGCCTTTATTTTATAAATAATGTAAGTCAATCCCATAATCAGTTCATATTGGCAGCCCTGTAGAAGTTAGGAAAATGTTCTTTTTTCAAAACCTTGTCAAATATCTCTTCTTGCTGTCATTTCAAGCAGAATCAAAGTTTCAAATATCTGGATTGAGTAAATGAGTGACTACACAAAAAGTATCTATAGGTCACATATATGAAAAGGGTCATTAAGCACAGAACATGTTACCTGAAAGAAATCTTAATTTTTTTCTGGATACATTATGTCTTTGCTTATTTATTTTATTAAAATCTTTCCCTTTTAGTTTGGAAAAGAATGGAGGACCATCCATAATTCCCGTCTTTAAGAAAGGTAATTAATTTTTTATTTCTGAGATACTGTGTAGCCCTGGCACTTGATAATTCCATGTTCCATGTCAAAAAGTTTGAAATGTACAGGCTACCAAAAAGGTTTACTTGCAAACTCTCCTTTTGTAAACCCAAATACCTAAGACACATTCCCATTTGTAAGGTCATCTCTACTAGTACCATTTGACTGGATCCTTTTTCACTTTTTTTTTCTCTAGCCATGCATAGAAATAACACCAGGTAATGGTGACTTCAAATATAGTTGTATTGTTGTCTGTTTCATTACAAGTTATCTATCTATAAATTCTGAGGGTAGAAATATTTTTCCATTACTATTTTGTGCAGTTTTTACCCTGGCTGGTAGATGACAATTATGTGACCTAAATCTGAGAAGACTACAGCTTGTAGTTTCTAATGTTACTCATTCTCTCCTATTATACATACAACAGGAAACAAATTCTTATTAATGTCATGTATTTGATGGGTACTTGCTCATGTGTACTTAGAGTAGGACCAAGTATAGTCAGAATCAAGGAGAGAACCATTTGAAGTCACTAGTGGTTTTCCGATGTCACAGGAAGGAGAATAGGGAGAAATATAATTTTATTTATTTACTTTAAAGATTTATTTATTTATTGGAAAGTCAGATATACAGAGAGGAGGAGAGACAAAGAGGAAGATCTTCCATCCGATGATTCACTCCCCAAGTGAGCGCAATGGCCAATGCTATGCTGATCCGAAGCCAGGATCCAGGAACTTCTTCCAGGTCTTCCACATCGGTGCAGGATCCCAAAGCCTTGGGCCGTCCTCCACTGCTTTCTCAGGCCACAAGCAGGGAGCTGGATGGGAAGTGGAGCTGCCAGGATTAGAACCGGCGCCCATATGGGATCCTGGCGCGTTCAAGGCAAGGACTTTAGCTGCTAGGCCATGCTGCTGGGCCCTATAATTTTATTTATTCAAGGCGTATCTGAGGGAAGCTAGATATGAGTATCAGTAGAGGCTGTGTGAAGGTATTTCGGAAAGTTTAATTGCTCACAAAGAAACTTATCTTCTAATTCCATTTTTCCATGAATTTTTGTGGTAGTCTCATATTTCGGAATATTTTAGAGAGAATACCCAGTTTTTCCTATATCTTCTTTCATGAAAGAATTAATAAACAAATGATTAGTCATTTCTGCTTTTTTTCTTCACTACTTTCTGAGCCAAACATTTTGCCATTAATTGTATAATGAAGTTTTACCAGGTTTATGGTAATCTTAAGGAAAAGTGAAGACATATAGCAAGCCTCTGATAAAACTCATTTTATTCTATGTCAAGTCTGTCATTTCAAAATGCCTTTTGCATTATCTTTTGGTATTAAGATACCTCTTGCTTAAATGATATTTGTTATTTTATTAGTGACAGTTTGGCATAATAAAAAGTTGACACATTATATTTTGACCTTTTCTGTTACCTAAAAAAGTCTGGAAGCTAATTGATCTTTTAGTATGTTTTAGTTCTTCAAAGAAGACAAAACTACACAGAACTAGAAGTAATGATATTATACCATGGGCAGACAGCTTAAGGGACATTTAATTGTGCCTCTTTAATTTTTAGGAAAAGAACACCGAAGAAAAGCAAAACCTAAAATTCAACCAAGAGATTCTTTGACTTTAATACCTCCTGTAACTAACTTAATGGGACTCTTCAAAACATCAGAAAACGCTGATGTTCCCCTTAGTATACTTTCTTTTTCATCTGCACTTTCATCGGATATCATAAACATATCAAGACCAAGAATAGTGTGCTTGAACAAACTTGGGAAAAACATACAGAAAGTCAACTCAGAGCCTTCAGAAAGCTAATAAAAGCACTTGAGTATGAGAGCAATCTTTTACTAATTTTTTAAATTATGGTAAATATATGTAATCAGTCTTTTTGAGTGTCTTTTCATATCAATTTAATCATCATAAATAGAATTTCTTGAAAATGTCTAATATTTACCATCAGACCAGAATTAATGGTTTCAAAATATATGAATTCTGAAATTAAGAATGCCTGTACTTCCATTTAAAAAAATTTATTAATATGTTCTGCCCAGCCTGGTAAAATTAAATTTATTTATTATTATTTATTAATTATTATTGGCTTTTTAGTTAAGACTGGTTAGAACAGCCACAGCCCACGTTGGAGTACTCTGACCTCAGTTTCCTGCTAATGTGCTCTTGGAGTTGGGAGTGACAGCTTGAGAAACTGGGTTCCTGAATCCAAATGAGAGACCTCGAGTGAACTGTGTACTGAGCACTGAACATATAAGCCCCGAGTATCCATCTTCTCCCAACACACCTACGACTTATACTTAGGGTTTTCCATGTGGTGCATACCAAAGCTTATTTTCTTTGCCACTATAAAGTAAGAGACCTCTATAATCTTCAGATTCAATTGAAAATCATCTTAGTAGCTTTGAGTCACAATTTCCTGATGGTTGAACTAATTTTTAAGAAATGTAGGGAAGAATGGAAAGGGATAAATTATTCAAGTGACAAGAAACTGTTTACCATTTATTCAGCACTGTTAAAGATAAAAATTCACATCAATGTACTTTGTTTTTAACAGTCTCCAGCGCACAACCTGTAAGTTTGACATTGACACTATAGTTTTAAAATAGTTAAAATTTAATCTATTCACATAAATGTATTTAAATTTATACAAGCTGATCATTTAAAATTTATTTAAAATTATTCAAACCATATAATATACATATAATTTAAATGTAAGTTTCAGTTTAAGTTATTAAAAATATATATACATATGCACACATATACACATACATATAATTTAAAGATCGGTCTCCCTGGAACTTCCTCCATGCCCCTGTTGGATGTTGGAGGTATTGCTTCTCTTCCTACCTGGTACATGCTACCTGGGACCTCATTTATTCCTGCTTCAGTTATTTCTTCTCTGTCATGGCAACTACACTGACATGGTAGGCCTCTCTGCAGTTTTAAGCTTTTGGTTTCTTGTTGATGTTGTTACTGTTTTTTGTTTAAAATTTATATAATTATTTGAACGTGTTAGAGAGAGGAGAGACTCAGATCTTTCAACACTGGTTCACTTCCCAAATGGCTATAATAGCCAGGGTTGAGCCAGATCAAAGCCAGGAGCTAGGAGCCAGGAGCTTTTTCCAAACCCCTCACATGGTTAGCAGAGGTCCAAGCCCTTGATCATCTGCTGCTTTTTCCAGGTTATTAACAGGAAGCTGTTTCAGAAGTAGAGTAGCTGAGACATGAATTGTTATTCATACGGGGCACTTTCAACTGCAGGTCGCAGCTAAACGCACTATGCCTCAATATCAGTCCCTAAAAAACAGTATTTTAAAAGTATCGTCAGGTTGGAAATCACATCATTAATGTGGTTAATGCATAATTTCCTGAGTGTACTGACATAGCCAGGACAACTTAATGACTTCCCAAACTTAGAGTATTTCTTGAACAGTACGTCTACCTCATATAGACTTCTTTTTTGCCATATGTTGTTTTTCTTTTGTAAAATTATGTATGAGAAAGGCCTCCTAATATAGAGAATTTCAACAATTTTTCTGCCTCTCAGCTGGGCTGGAAAACATTGGCACAGATGTTTGCCATACAGTCTCTCCCTCACTATTTTTCTTTCCTTTTTCATTTTTCCCTTCATTCTTTTCTTTTCCCTTCCTTATGTCTAAGCATTGAAAGACCTAGAGATATAAAGTTCTCCAGAATTTTCTTACTTTGTTTTCTGTAGATTTTCCTTATTTATGTCATAAACTCAATTTTAACATGCATCATTGCAGAACCTGGAACAATTCTGAAACTTTAAAAATTTGGATTAATGGTATTCCTGATTTACAATCTTTGTGATAATGCGAAGAACCCTTGACAGATTTTCTTTCATGGTTTGTATGTATGCTAAATTTAGTGCTGAAGGAATAATTCTACTTCTCTTTGAATTCAGAATGACAGGCATATGATGTAAATAAAAATGTAAAATGTGAAATCAAAAACTGTTTATTTTAAATGACATTTGTTCCCAACTCTATATGCCAAAGAATGCAAACCTTTATAAATATTATTAATTACATATTTCTATATGTTTACTAATATATAAAACAACATTTGTCCTGGGATAAAATGAATAAAATAATATACCTTGACCACAATTCTAAAAAAAATAATTACTAACAGTGCTTCCCATAGGGAAGTCACTTTAAGGTGGGATTTATTCATTTATATTTACTTGAAAATCCACAGTTATAGGAAGAAAGGGAGAAATAAGCACACAGAAAGAGCTTGCATTCACTGGTTCACTTCCCACATTACCACCAACATCCAGAGCTAGGTGAAGCCAAAGCCAGAAGTCTACAATTCCAACCAGGTCTCTCAAATGAATGGCAGGGACCCAAGTACTTGGGCCATCTTCCATTACTTTCTTAGGTGCATTAGTAGAGAGCTGGATCAGAAGTGGAGCAGCTGGAACTCCAACTGGCACTCAAATGGGATGCTGGCATCTTGGGAGGTAGCTTAAGCTGACTGTGCCACAACACTGGCGCCTAAGGCGAGATTTAAATAAGAAATGTTTTCATTCTAGATTTTTATCCTTAACTCCCAGTTGCTCAATAAAGCCAGGCTCTAGTCAGAAAGCTAATAACTTGGTCCAGTATAGATGATGTAGTATGATCCTTTACTGGTAAAAATCTCTTAAAAGACATTAAACAATCAGTAGAGTAAAAGACAGTTACATTCAACTTCTTTAACCTAGGTTCCCCACAAATCATACATTTATGACATCTGTAACACAAAATTTCAGATTTAAAGAAAATTTCATCTACTTTCACCTGGTTAAATATAATTTCTAAAATAATGGATGTGAATATAAATGGTCAACTAACAACTACAGTGCAGACTTGAGAAATCACCTGCATGCAAAATTTTTAGAATCAGATATATTTGAACAAACATGTAGACATAGCCACTTACTCCAAAAAGAACACCTAGTACACATTTTTATGTTTAATAACATTTGATTAGAGAGAGTCAGTTTTTCTCTTGATTTGGAATTCTGTGATTTGCCATGATTTTGTCCCACTTTTCTAAAATTGCTCTCTTTCTATAGAAGTCAGACTCACATTTCAGTCAGGGTCAAAAAATAACTTCCAATCCTGATTTGAGAAAGGGTAGAAAAGATCTGGATATGATGATTAGGGTCAGAATTGGGCAGAATCACAATATTTCTTTAAGGTCTTAACCTACTTCCCAATATCAGTATATAATTTTCCTATAAGATGTTTTACTTTGGTGTTTTATAGAATGTTTCTTTTCTATATACTTGCAAGGCAGAGTGACAAGAAATAGAGGAGAGAAAAGGGAATAGGGAGAAGGAGAGAGAAATCTTTTATGGTTGGTTCTCCCCTCCCCCCAAATGGTTGGAACAAAAGACTGGGCCAGGTGAAAGCTGGAGTCCAGAACTCCATCTGTCTCCCATGTGGGTGGCCCAGGCACCTTAGCCATTATGTGTTGCCTCCCAGGCAGCTGGATTAGAAGTGGAGGAATTGAGGGGTGCTATTATGGTGCATCTGTTTAAGCTGCCACATGGGATTCCTTCACCCTGTATCAGAGAACCTGTTCAAGTCCCAGCTGCTTGGCTCTGGTCCAACTTCCTGTTACTGCATCTGGGAAGGCAGCAGGCTGCTGCTATCTCTGCAGGAGATCCAGTTGCAGCTAATGGCCACTTAGGGAGTGGAACAGTGGATGGAAGATCTTTCTCTCTCTTTCCCCCTGTCTCGGGAGCTCTTTCCCTTTCAAATAAAAGAGCAAGTACTTTATAAAAACCAAGAGTTCTACATGAACAGGCACTCTGATCCTGGATGTGGGCATGCTTCCCAGTCGCTTTATTTACTGTGCCTCAATGCCTGCCATACTTTGGTTTTTGTATTAAAACTAATTTTTCTTATATGAATGCATTTATTGTCTCTCAGAAGAGCAGGTTAAACATCAACATAAGAAAAAGAGTAACAAAAAGTTTTGATGAGTACTATACTTTTACAATTGATACTCGTAAGTGTAATACTTATTGATACACTTAATTATAACATTGAAATACTACCTTTATGGATGTTCTTGAAAAGCAGAATTCAAATCTTCATTTTTAATGGTGGTACTTTTATGGCAGCTTCTCCAACTTCTTCTGATATATCTACTCCAAGAGGACATCTGCATTGCAGACACATATTACTTCTAAATTTTCTTCATAAGCCATCACTAGATCTGCAGACTATGTATTTAGTGTGCTGAGAAACACCACATGCAGCTATTATATAATTTGTCATATATGGTGATGGTTCTTAAATACATACAAATGTAGTGGGATCTTAAGTCAGAATAATAAAGGCCAGTCTCATAAATAAAATATCTAAATTTTGATGTGCTTTTGAAAGTGACGCTTCTGCTCTCAATTATTATAACCATACTAGTTAAAAACGTAATGCTTATATCTTTATAAAAATTCAAATGTAAAAACATAATCTATGCAGCTAAAATCAAACCTGTGCCCATGGACATTTAAGAAATCCCCCAGTTATTGTGGGTCGCTCCAACTAGGCTGCAGCTCCCACTGGTTTAGGTGAGGGCCAAATATGTGTGGGGCAGAACCAGGCTGGACCGCAACACCCATTGGTTCCAGTGGAAGTCGGGAGTGAAAACAGAACCAACCCAGCAATTACAACCACCAGCTGATTGGAGCGATGGACGGTGCCTGGCCCTGTACTTGTTAGCACATACAAGAAGTTTCTTTGGAGATCTTCCTAATCTAAATGCTGGACTCAGAACCCTAACGAAGAAAAGAGAGAAGACAGAACAGGTCAACCAACCATCTCAGCTATGATGGACTATGTCTATCAGTGGATTTTTCAAAGACCTCATAGTGCTTGGAGTGGCAAGATTGACAGCGATTCATAACTGTTGCAATATCAAGACCACTCGAGCAAGAACCTCAGAGCATGCCCTACACCCGGGACTTGGGGAGGGTGGGAAATTGGGTGGGCCTTCTCCCTTAATACCCCCCTTTTAAACATGAAGGTAACAATATGGAAAACATACTAGTATTATCCACTTTCCTGTAGCCCTTGAACCTTCTTACTCTAACTAAGCATGTAAAGAATGTCAAAATAAATTTTATTAATAAAAAAAAAAAAAAAAAAAAAAAAAAAAAAGAAATCCCCCAGTTTCTATCCGTTCATCTTGGAGGTTTCAAAAGCTGCCCCTTTTCTACTCTGCTTTGCCAATGTCGGCAAGAAGGATCTTTGCTTCTATCACTTCCTCAGTTCTTCCTCAGTCAGCCTCAGGTATCCTTCTGGAAAAAGCCAGCCTCCATACTGCCAGCAGAGGGCCCCATTGGATTAGGTGATGAACTCCATCCAGGCCTGGGGCATCCTTGGAAAGGATTCCCCTGCCACTGCTAGCTCCTTTGCTTTGTGATCTGTGATTCATGTAACCGAGGCGGGAAACACCAGCCTGTTGGCCTGCAGAATCACTCGGTCCTGCCCTGCCAAGGCAATTAGAGGTGAGACTCAAAGTTCAGGCTAATTTTTAAGTTGATAATTTCATATGGCTTATGAATGATGATATAAATACCTAGATGGCCTTTGGCAAGAAAAATGTTTCCCACCTCTATGTTAACACAACTGTGTAGTTATGGACTATATTGCTGGCAGTGTTCAAAACAAGATTCTGTTACTTTGTGAAATATAATTTTTACTATTCTAGAATTAACTTGGACTGGAACTTGACAGTAAATTGAAACAGCTGTGTAATAGGTTGCAACATGGTTTGAGAGAGCAAACTGGCTATCTCTTGGTCAGTTCTTAGCTTTCTCATTAGATGCTTTTGGCATGTTTCACTGCCTACCAGCCAGTCTTCACATCTCAATACTACAAAACTCCAGGCCATGGCTAGGATTTCCACTCTGGTCCCAAATGAAGGAATTTAGTACATCTATTCATGGTCTCCTTCTTACCCACCTATAAGTTTTCAAACTTCTTATAATTTGATACTACAACAAAAATCTCTCATGAAGTGTTTCATGAAAGCAATGAATGTGACTTCAAGTACCACTAGGTCTAAGTGAAAAACTCATATATGAAAGCAAACTTCAGGCTTCATTTTTTAAAAAAGTTTTGTTTTATGAAGATTAGGAATGATACTACGTACTTGGGTTCATAGCGGATGCCTTCTACATCATGTAAAATGCCCAAGCCAGCACGTAATCTTTCAATACCGTTCCTAAAGAAGAATCAGGAAAATAAATTCAGTAGCCCCATGATGTAAAGGAGACCATTTAATGTGAGGACATGGTGACCAATGTGAGGAACTGGCAATGAAGTGCTTACCATGCAATCATGATGCCATTATCAGTGCACAGTCTAGGCGGGGGACATAGCAGAGTGCATCCGGTTGCGTTTGTCACAATTTCCAGAGCTTTTCTGATATAGAAGTTACTTGCAACACCACCAGACACAACCTGAAGGAAGGAGACCAACCTTAACAAGGAGCAAACATACAAGAACCACCTCTTTAAGTTTGGGGAAATTACCAACTTCATACAATAAGAAACTATCACATAATGAGGTAAGTAATGAACAAGTGATGTATCTGAAATAATAAAATTTAGAAGAAAAAACACTAACAATTTTAATCGTAGCATATAATCACTATTAATATTTCTGCATTTTCTCTAACTCCTTAAAAAAACCTTAACCTTTTTCTAAATATTTCTTTAATATAATTGCAATCACAGTATACCAGTATTTTTACTGTAATTTTTACTGGTAATAATTTCCTCGGTTTACTCTGTTAAAAAACAATTATCCTTGATATTCATGTAATATTCAATTTTGCTAATTTAATAAACACTTTCCAAATAAGTTTATAACTTTTTAAAAAGATTTATTTACTTTTATTGGAAAGGCAGATTTACAGAAAGGAGAGACAGACAGAAAGGTCTTTCATCTGTTGGTTCATTCCCCAAGTAGCTGAAGTGGCTGGAGCTGAGCCATTCTGAAGCCAGGAACCAGGAGCTTCCTCCTGGTCTCCACACAGGTGCAGGATCCCAAGGCTTTGAGCCATCCTCTACTGTTGTCCCAGGCCACAAGCAGGGAGCTGGAAGGGAAGTGGGGCAGCTGGGATACAAACTGGTGCATGCAAAGCAAGGACTTTAGCCACTAGGCTACCACACCGGGCCCATAAGCATATAATTTTCAAGAGACTAATTTTCACACCAAGTTTATCCAGGCTATGAAATTCATTGTAAGGGATTTTACCAAAGAAAGGAGGTAAGCAGCTTACTTTGAAAAAAATATTGTCGGGCCCGGTGCAAGTGGCGCAAGTGGTTAAAGGTCCTCGCCTTGCACGCCCGGGATCCCATATGGGCGCCGGTTCTAATCCCGGCAGCCCCACTTCCCTTCCAGCTCCCTGCCTGTGGCCTAGGAAAGCAGTCGAGGACGGCCCAAAGCTTTGGGAACCTGCACCCGCGTGGGAGACCCTGAAGAGGCTCCTGGCTTCGGATTGGCATAGTATCGGCCCGTTGCGCTCACTTGGGGAGTGAATCATCGGACGGAAGATCTTCCTCTCTGTCTCTCCTCTCTGTATATCCGCCTTTCCAATGAAAAAATAAAAAAAATAAATCTTTAAAAAAAAAAAATATTGTCAGCAGTTACTGCTTTGTTTGCATTTTTATAAGTCCTATTTTCAATGAGGAAAATGTGGTCTTATATTTTTTGACACCCAGGCTGTATGACTGTCTTCTGAAGCTGCCATGCATGCACAGGAAATGGCTGGTTAATACATTTTTCTATTCTGTATAATTTCACACTGTGCATGGCTAGCATGTAGTAAAAAGACCTGTTCATCCTAGGTATAAGCTCAAGTGAGGTCTTCAGGACAAAGTATCATAGAGTCAAGTGTTACAACAAAACATACCAGGACTGCATTGTTTTGGGGTAGTAAGTCTTTCTGCTTGCAAAAAAGGATAGCGCGATGTGTTCTTTTTGCAATGTGGCACGCTGCTGTGTGCTGTACTGCAGCAGCAATGTCTGCAGCTGAAGACAACAGTTGTCCTTTCTCAATTCCTGCAGAAATGGGGAGTCATGTTTAGGCAAAGTCTGGCATAGTTGTCCTTCCATACTTAGAAATTATGATAGTTAGAAGTATACCTTCCTCTTTTTCCTTTTGTGTTATTATTCTGTCAATAATATGCTGAAGTCCAGAAAAAGAAAAATCACAATTTTTTGCACGCTGCATGGGTGGTTTGATATCAAAATGGAGTCTGTTTCCTTGTTTAGCCAAATATTCTATAGCCTTCCCACCACTCATGGTGGAGCAATCGGGATGTTTGACTAAAGAAAGTCTTCTTGCCACCTATGAAGAACAAAACCACATCCTGTGTAAGAAGTCAAATTATACATTTTGAAACAAATGTATTACTACTACTTTAGGAATTCTGAATGCATAAAATATGTTATACCTTGACAAATAAGGACTATAGTGGATGCTAATTAAAGCAGTGGGAACCAGCTGCTCTTCTCTGGAGTTGGAAAATAGGTTTGAAATTGTCAAAGACTACTTAATGACCTTCAAAAATGAGAACCTGCCCTGTGAGCTTCAGTGTTGTTTTTACACACAGCACAGGGATTTGGGGAGTTTATTCTCAAATAATATTCTGCTTGCCAGCATTTGTATGATATAGTCAGACAACCTTGTACATTATTAATGTTCTTATGCTAATCTGTATACATCCTTCTATTTAATTTTTTCCAGCACATGACCTAACTGTATCTGCAAACTATTCTAGTCAATACATATTGATGTAAATTGCTTACTAGTTTAAGAAAATGTAAGAATTGCGTTACAACATTATGTATTCTACTTTTTCTTTTTTCTTCCTGTATATAAACTTTTCAGTCTAAGAAAATATTCATAGATATCTATATAAATGGTGGTAGCACATCCATCACCATTTAATTGAAAGATACCAGAACAAAATAAAAGAAAGAAATTCTCAGATAATTACCTTGTCCAGCATGTCCCCTGGTGCTATGTCCAGAGACTTTCCAAGAAGCAGAAAATCTGCAACTCCCTGAACTAATGCCAGAAGACAATGACCTCCAGAAATTAAGAGCACTAAAAAAGGGAATTCTACTTTATTGGTCAATCTAATAGTCAGGGCATGAGCCTCCATATGATGAATGGGAATGAATGGCTTTTTCAACTGGCTTACCAACTGCACACTAAATGATAAGCCTACTCCCAGGCTCAAAGCGAGACCTGGTTTTATGGTTGTTGCAATAGCTGACAGTTCACTCGGAGAGATTTTACTGGCAGAAAGAGCTTCTTGCACTATGCGTTGAATGTTTTCTCTGTGAAGCTGTTGAGCTACAGGAGGAATGATCCCACCTGATCTGAAAGAAACAAAAAGATAGCTTTTTATAATTTTTAAGATGATAAGAAACAGAAGTAGAAATATATGGCTAAAGGCATGTCTTTAAACACAAAGCTGAAAATATTAGGCAAGTATTTTCAAATTGTGTACCTTTTGTCACAACACATGTTAGCTACTGAAGAAGCTCCCCAGAATGTTAATGAATCACTGAAATGACTGTGACATCTTTCTAAGGAAGTCTTCACAATGGAAGGAAAGGATAAGGTTAGATGTTAGGAAAATTAACCTGCATGTAGAAAAAGAATGTTTTTAAGACATTACTGCAAAAGTGTTTGTGTTAAATAATATTGTTAATTGAGTGTGCAAATAGGGAGAAAGGGACAAAGAGCTTCAAAAACTGTAGCAACTAAATGTGAGGATTAGGGGAACAAGGCATGCAAGATGACTCAAATATTCAGCTGAAATGAATAGGAGAAAAATACTTAGAAATATGGAAACAGTTTTGTGAAGATAAGTTTATTTTTAAAACATACAGCATTGTTAGTCAGGGCAGGACAGTAGATTGCCTGCAATCTTGAACTACAGTTCAACTACAGTTCAGAAATGCTTGGAATGCTTGGAGATGGTCATTTAGAGTTTTGGCTTCTAAAACTTAAAGTATGCCTTACTTCAGGGCAATGGATAGCCACTCTAAATGTCAAGAAGAAAGAAGCAGGAAGCAAATTTGCTACCAACAAATATGCTAGCATATGACTGTTTTTATACCAATGCAACAAAATACAAGGCACATTTAGTCTCAATCTCTTGGGCCAAGGTTCCTCCTAACTCCCCTCACTCTGCATTTATCACCATGCCCATCGTGACTACAGAAACCTTCACTGATTGGGTCAGTCTATTCCACAGTTATCCAACTGCACTTCCCTGACTATGTCCTCTGAACCTTGGAGTCCACAGGGTGCTGACCCTGTTCATATGCTACTCACATCTAGACTCCTGTGGAATCTGCAGAGTTTGAATCTTCTCCTTCCCATGCATGTCTCCCTTTTTATTTTTTATTTTCCCTTAACAAGTCAGATCTACTTGGAGGGGTGATGGCTCTAGTAGGTTGGTTCCTGCAATCCACATAAGAGACCTACACTGAATCCATTTCTTCTGCTTTGGGCCGGGCGCAGCCTTAGTTCTTGCAGACAGACAGGGAGTCCATCAGTGGATGCGAACTCTGCCTCCCAAAATAAGATGATTTTAGTGAACCCACCCACCCCCATTCCTGCATAAGAAGGTCTTCAAAGAGTCTACAAACAACATGTTTGATAAAGAACCTATACAAGCATATCAAAACATTTTGTGCTGAATAACTTCTTTTCTACAAACTTTTTGAAATACCATTGTACAGGTAGAGTAAAATAAGAATAGGCCTGACTGAGAGAAAATGCTGAATACGTATTAGAGCTGGAGCAGAAATGAGTTTCTTATGGTAACAGGACTGAGGTGTTTCTATAGTAGTGAGTAGAGGCTTTTATGCACACAAATGTGCAATTTGCCTCTAAGGCTTAATTTTTATATATGATAAACAGACAAGAATAACTTCATTTTATTTACTTTTCAAAGCAGGGGGCAACAATTGAGATAAGGCATACTTACTTTAAGTGAACTTCAGTTTGGGAGTGTATTGCTTCTCCCAACACATTTCCAGATTCATCCACCACCGCAGCTGCTGTGTCATCACAACTAGTTTCAATTCCCAAAACTAGTTTATGAAGAAACTGCGTTCTGGGATGAAAATTTAAACTTCTTAGTGCTTCATAAATTTTCCTTTTTGATGGTTTAAAAAAACATCTTGTTGTCTTATTTAACATTAGCATACTTAACTCTGAGGTAATTCCTGCAAAAGAATCCCAAAAGAACAAGACAGGAAACAGTCAGCGTGGACTCACATAAACCTTACTAGGTAGGACACAAAGATAAGTTACTCCCCACTAAGGCATTGGAGATTTCTCTGCACACCCCTCCTAAAACTGTTCTATACCTCAACTGTTGATATATGCCTTGTTAGAGTTATAAGCCAGTTTGGACTACCCTATAATCTGCCAAGTTCGGTAAAAATTATGCTTCAAAACTATAAACTGCTAAATACTAAAATGAAAATAGGCATGAGATATTTGAATAGTTCCCTATAGCCATTTTAAGATGTATAGGAGCTGTTTGCTTATAAACTAAAATTGAAATGTCAATGAAATAGTCACAGGATGTGATTAAGAACCTGCATTTTTGAACATATTTGTTACTCAATACCATGTCAATGAACTCCATAATGTTGTAAATTGTTGTTGATGTTATGTTGGGGCTTTTAATTGGCTGGGATGATATTCTGCCAGCTCAGCCTTCAGACCAGAGATGGTCTCCCCAAGAAACTTATCTGGACAATAAGCTGCTGGACTCTACACTTGGTATATGCCTGCAATGAAAGAATCTTGACTGGATTTGAACTGTACTATTGCAACAAGGTGGAGGAATTCACCATGGGAGGAAGGCATGGGAAGGGGTTGGGGGAATCCCAGAGCCTTTGAAACTGTGTCACAAAATGAAATGTAATAAAAAAAAAAAAAGAATCCCCAAACTATTATTTGAAACCGATATTATCTCTAATCTTACTTAGCAAAACAAAATCCTGAAACCTTGATATATTTTTCAATTCATAATTTATATGGAGTTACTGAAAGTACAAAAGTTACCAAAATTTTAAAAAGTCCTTGGTAATCTGTGAATCTGACTAGCAGTACGAATGCATATAATGTGCTGAAAGAAAAGAGAATGGGATCAGATAGAAGTAGTTCATCATAAGTTGAGCATCCCAAATTAAAGTATCTGAACTTTTCTAGTGCCAACCTAATGCCATAGCTAGATACTGCTAGACCTGGTCTCACTTGATGATTCACAGTGAAAATATAAGCACATTTTAAATACTACATAAAATTTCTTTGAGGCTACATGTACAAAGTGTATATAAAGTACAGATTCTACCTCTAAGTTATATGTATGCAAAATCTTTAAAAAATCTGAACATAATCTAAAATGTAAAACACTTCTGTGATCCCAAACCTTTTTGACAGCAATATTGCTGTGGTTCTTACCAGTCAACTATTTTTCCTAAAACACCTAACATTACAATTTTTAAGATTTTTTTCTTAGAAAGTCATATCTACAGAGAGAAGCAGAGACACACAATGATCTTCCATCCTCTGCTTCCCTCTCCGAGTGACCACAAAGACCAGAGCCAAGACAATCCGAAGCCAGGAGCCAGGAGCTTCTTCTGGGTCTCCCACCCGGGTGAAGGCTCCCAAGGCTTCGGGCCATCCTCTACTGCTTTCCCAGGCCACAAGCAGGGAGCTGGATGGGAAGTGGAGCTGCTGGGATATGAATTAGCGCTTGTAAGTGGGATTCCAGTGAGTGCAAGGCAAGGATTTAGCCACTGAGCCATCGCAGCTGAGTCCCTAACATTACAACAATTTCAAAAATAACCCTGTGAGAAGCACTATTCATTGATGTGTAAAAGTAAGACAAAATGTATTTTTTAAATCAGAAAAGGCAAGGTAAAACAGCTAAGTGATATATTCCATACAATGTAACCATTTGTTTCAAAAACTAGACTCAACGTAAAGTGAATGAATGCCCCATTCACATACAGACACTCCAAGACACTGTGTGCTAGTTTCAGCATTCAAACTAAGCTTACCTTAAAAAAAGCACAACCAAAGGCACTGCAACTAAACCCCTATTTTATCCTTAAATACAATTTTATAATTAAATTTCCACTTTTTGCCACAGGCTGTCTCAGCAAAGATCCTCCCAATACAGTAGTCTTCCATCACAAATGCACCTTAGTACCTTTGTGTTTTCTCACTAGGTATCTCATTTCATGCCAAATCATCTGCTCTCAAACTTTCTGAATGTTTAAGTCCTTCCTGTACTACCATACTGGACAAAATTAGGAGTTCAAAACAAGAGCAAAGAATCGGATCTGGGTCGGAAGGCAATAATGAACGAACTGTTTGCAGAGGGCACTTATATGGAGAGGAACAAGTATTTGCAGAGGAGCGGCCCCAGGAAGGCAAACTCCAAATGAAACATTTGCAGTAACTGTGGGCCAGGAGGATGGTGGGGCCAAGCACTTCTTCTCTTGGGCAAGATCTGCTCTAACAAGGCGAGAAGCTGGGCTTGCAGCCCGTTTTCCAGCTTGGCGAAAGCATCCGTGAAGGTCTCACCCACCTTCCCACGACACCAGCTGATGCTCCTCAGCTCGCCCCGTCCACCCTGGAAGCCCCTTCAGCCTCCGCAAGGCCGGCGCCCAGCAGTGACGTCATCCCGCCGTGCCGCGTCCACGGCCAGGGCGGCGCGACGCCCTCTGGGTGCTGCTTCCAGGTTTGTAGGTAACGAGACGCATAAGGGGTCGCACAGCTAGAGTCTGACTCAGAGGACGTTGAGTACAGGTTTGTTTGTGCAGCTTTTGCTTCCGAACACGACAGTTTTAGAAGGTTTTTTTTTGTTTGTTTTGTTTTTGCGCGTTTGGCTGGAATTTGGTTGCCACTGAGAGAAAAGGATAGGCCCCGTGAAATAGGTAATTCTTAATAGGGCGGACACTGGAGACCTAGGATCCTACATGGAGCTCCCGGAAAACGGAAGGGCTCCGGTCAGACCATCGAAATCACTACTCCCGCCTCTTCAGGGGTAAAATGTAGGGCTGGCTTCGTTTTGTATTTGCAAAAGGCCGGGCACGAGATGGTAACTATCTTAAAAAAAAAATGATCTCCGTGACACAGCACGGGGTCCTTGCTTTGCGACCTTCCCCGCAGTGTACTGATATCCTGGTATCTCCCCCACGTGCCTTTGGAGAGTTAGCGCTTTGATTGCTTCATGAACTTCTTACCATTGGTTGGGGTATATGCACTATCCCCAGTCTTGCTAGAATTTCAGGATTTAGTAAGCAAGATCCCTATTGTGCAGGGTTGGACAGAGCTGTCACACATACCTGCCTTGTGATGCTTTGGGTGTTAAAGATGAGCAAATCCAGTGTGTTCTAGAGATAAGATACAGGGTAAGTGCATTCATAATAACCAGAGTATTGTTGAGAAGCTTCTTTGGATAGAACAAGTTTTTCAAAAGTTTCCTGGTATGTGTAACAATACCAGTAAAAGGGCACTTAACCGCACACAACTGAAGATTAATAAAATCACCTCGAGAACTCCTTACTATCTGCGATTTTACAGCACCTGGGCCATAGAATTGGGTGGTTTGCAAGAGACACAGCTAGAAAGTACAGAGCTAGGATTAGAGTCCAGGCTGTTTGCCAGAAAATCATTCACATTTTCCTTGGGGCTCATTGCTGACCCAAGCAAGAAAAAACAAAAATACAGAACCTGAAGATGAAGGAAATTAGTCACTCTGACTCCATATGAAGGGCCAGGGTTTACTCCACAATGTGATAAAATCCAGCCTGAACAGAAATCCACTCATGGTTAGTGTTTTTCTCACAATTCATATTACGTTCAGTAGATATAACCCAGTGCTCTTTTGTGCTGTCAAGAGTTAGCCTTGCAAGGTGTGCTCCTAGCATCAGTAGAATCCTCATTAAGGCCTCTTGAACAGGAGTGGAGGTGGAAGGATGCACTATGTCAAACAGCTGACACATCAGGAAGGACTGTTACTCTTCTTGGGATTGTGTGTTTCATAAGGCAGGGTATGCTCACAGGCCTGACATGTGCTTTACTGTAGTGCTGGAGGGAGGATTGCTCCAGTGCCCGTCTAGACTTCAGCACAGATCATCTGGTTAAAAAGCTAAAATACTATCAGCATAATATGGCCTGTTGTCATTTAGCTTCAGTCAAAAAGTTGTAACCTACTCTAAGTATGCTGATTTTTTTTTTAAGATTTATTTATTTTTATTACAAGGTCAGATATACAAAGAGGAAGAGAGACGGAGAGGAAGATCTTCATCTGATGATTCACTCCCCAAGTGAGTGCAATGGCTGGTGCTATGCCGATCTGGAGCCAGGAACTTCCTCCAGGTCTCCCACACAGGTGCAGGGTCCCAAGGCTTTGGGCTGTCCTCAACTGCTTTCCCAGGCCACAAGCAGGGAGCGGGATGGGAAGTGGAGCTGCCGAGATTAGAACCAGCGGCCATATGGGATCCTGGTGCATTGAAGGTGAGGACTTTAGCTGCTAGGCCACGCGGCTGGGCCCTACATATACTGATTTGGTCTTGACTATTCTCTGTCTAGTTTTCCATGTATGGGAATTATTTTATGTAGAACAATCTTATTTTCCCTAATCACATTCCATTGAATTTGTATTTTCATTGATCAGTTACATATTGGGCTCTTTGTGCTAGGAACCTTAGTCGTTAGGGGAAAAAAAGCCCCATTCCCTGCCCTCCAGGATGCCTAGTGGTAGAATGAATAATAAACAATGCAGAGTAATGGAAATATGAAAGAAGTGTGCATGGAGAAGGATTGCTGGGGTTGTTGGGAAGGCTGTGTGGTTTGCCACAGATGTCTGCAAAGTCTGGTTAGTTTATGGTGTGATTATCTGGTTTCCATATCTGGCTCTCTTAGTTTATCAGGTCTGGAAGTGACTGGAATCTGGTTTACTGAGTTGTTTACCACAAACTGCTAAGATGCTACTGTCCACAAATCATTCTACTAAGATGAATTAATGTACAAGAACTGCAGTGATGGGGAAGCTAAGAGAGTTGAGTTTGCTAGTCTATTTTGTTTTGATCAAATTACAATGAAAGCAACATCCCAATTACCAGAAGAATGCTTGGTCACCATGGTATGGAATACTCAGTGTTCTAAAGCTGATGTTTAGCTAAATGAAAAAAAAAACACGAAAACTATTTAGTAGCAGAATCAATGTTTTACTAGGACTAACATTAAATTGTAAAAATGAAAGTAAACACTTCTTTTTTTTTTTTTTTTGGTGCTCTACACGATCAGAGAACGTCCCTAGTCACAGACTATAGAAATGATCCCTGAAAGTATAGTCATTTTGTTTTTGACACCATGTGTGGGAGAGCTTCTCTTGCTATTGTGCCCATCACTGCGAAGTTTCTTTTTATGGGTATTTTACCTTGTGCTGCCTTCCTATTCCTGCACTTGTTAATTTATCCATGTTCTGTTTTGGGAATTACTCTTGTCGTCCTATTAGACTAATCCAACTACAAAGTCTATGCTTGTATATCCTCTTACATTTTTTTTTCCCAAAGATTTATTTTAATGGCAGAGTTACAGGAGAGGTAGGAGGAGGGGGAGGGAAGAAGTGGAATATATCCCACATTCCCCAAATGGCTACAGCAGCCAGAGCTGGGTCAGACTGATGCTAAGAGCCAAGAGTTTATTCCAGGTCTTCCACTTGGGCTTAAGGGTGAAGCACTTGGGCCATCCTCCAGTGCCTTCCCTTCAGTGGATTCAAAGTGAAGCAACTGGAACATGAACTGGTGGCTAGATAGTTTACTTGAACCAGAAGAGGCATCCTAATTTGCTGTGCTACAAAGCCAGCCCCACTGTATGTCTTCCTCATGATTAGCAGGAGCGTTATTTTGGGATCACACTTATTGTATCGGTATGTGTTTTTGTGTGTATATATAATTTTATTTAATTTCTTAAATTTTCATTTCTCTTGAAACTCAGGGACAGAAATCTTCTGTCCACTGTTTTATTTCCCAAATTCATGGAGTAGCTAAGGCTATGCAACACTAAAGGCAGGAAACTGACATCCAATTTGAGCCTCTCATGTAGAAGGCAGGGACCAAAGTTCTTGACCCATCACATAGCACCCAGGGCGCAGGTTAGCAGGAAGCTGATTGAGATGTATTCATGTGTGCCAGGTGGCATCTTAGTCACTGCACCAAAAACCAGTCCCTCGTGGCATATATTAATATAGTAGATATTTAGCTTTAGAGGTCAGCATTATGCTGTGGTTAAGCTGCAGCCTACAATGCTGGCACCCTATATGCCTGCCAATTCCACTGCTAGCTGGTGTACTTCTGATCCCTGCTATTGAAGCTCAGAAAGCAGTGAAAGATGGCCTAAGTGCTAGAGTCCCTGCTGCCAACGTGGGAGACCCAGATGGAGTTCTACCTTTCAAACAAATAAACCTTTTTTTTTTTTTTTTTTTTTTTTTTTATTATTGTTGCTTACATTGTATTGTGTAGTACAGTTTCATAGGCGCTGGGGATTCCCCCCACCCCTCCCATACCCCTCCCCCCATGGTGGATTTATTAAACAATGTGAATTAAGAGTAAAATCTGCCAGGATGTGCTTCTATAGAAAAAAAATGAGTGTTAATAGTTTGACAAGAAAAAAAAAAAACCCCAAAAAGCCTATTTAATGAATGTCAGGGTGAAACATAATAGCATTGCATGTTGAAAACCTGATATTTTTGTGACAATAAAATCAGTGATCAGTGGTATAAGCTAGTGATGTAGGAAAACAAAAGGCACCCAGAACAAGAGAAATGAGAATGCTGTAATCATATCACATCCTAAACATCTCTTGTATTTAGCCTTAGCACTTCAAAATAAACTGGAACTTAACAATTGCTATGAAAGTGGGAGAGATGTGAAACCTTATTACATTAAAATGGTGAAGGCTGTAGCAGTGTCCATTCAGTTACATAGATACCAGTGTGAAAATTCTTCAAATAGCTAGAGTTATATGGGATGAGGACTTGATCTGGGCTCAGTGTAAAAGGTTATGAAATGTGTTAAAAAATGGAACATATGGGGCCAATGTTGTAGCCTAGTTGATTAAACTGCAGCCTACAAAACTGGCTTTCCATGTGGGCATTCTTTCTCTCTGCTGTTCTCCTTTCTGGTCCAGTTCATTAATGGCCTTGGGAAGAAGATGGCCACATGCTTGGACCCCTGCCACCTATGTGATAGACCTGGAGGAAGCTCTTGGCTACTGCCTCTGGCCTGGCTTTGGCCTCGGCCGTTGCAGCTACTTTCATAGTGAACCAGTGGTTGGAATTCTTTTCAGTATCTCCTCCCTTTAGTAACTTTCAAATGAATAACCATTTTTTTTTTTTAAAAAAGAATATGTTGTATTCTAAGTTGAAAGTCCTCTTTTAGGGTAAAATGAACTGAGCAAAGTACTTGTCATTCCAGTTTGGGGGTTTGAATTCCATGGCTTTTTCCAGCTCAATCAATAAACTGTATGAACTAATGTACAAAAATATCATTGAGGAAATACTGTTCTTCCCCTTAGGATCTTTATAGTTTTAAAGACAGTAACACCATGATTCCTTTGAAAGAAAGCAGCAGCAAGTCAAAAGACTGTTTGAGCCAGCCTGGAAGAACTCTCCATGGTCAAAGCTGGAGGACATTGAGTAAAACAATGGCCTAGAACCCAAAGCCTAGGATACCCACAAACTGTACTGTAGATGACCGAATAAGCTGAAAAGAAGGCACAGGTCATCTTTATCGAAATCCAACAAATACACGTAAAAGGAATGAGCTGAACAGTTATTAGAATTCCACAGTAATAGCTGCTGTAAGATCCTCAGATAAATAAATGCTGGCTTTAGTGCAATTCCACATTCATGCCTTAAAAAATTGCTGGTATAGCCCTTGGCAGTCAGGAGCAGTTATAGCACAGTTATTTTTTCCAAATAACTCTATAATTTTTTTTTGTTTAAACTGTACAAACTTTTAAATGTATCAAGTTTTTATATTTAAATAACACAACTATTCACCTAGGTGATAACGATAAAACCAGGAGTCATTTAATTCCTTCCTGTTGTCTTAGTGCATCAGTCCCATGAACTGTACTTGCAAAATATATCCCAGGTCTTGCCACTTCTCATTTCATCCCACTGCTTCCCAAGTCAGCAACTTCTAAGTTTCCATTTCTCCTGCCTTCTAGCTCTTTATTCTCTATATTAGTGACCTATAAAACAAAGTTAGATCCCTTTAATCTCATAAGACTTGCCAATGGCTGCCATGTTTAGAATAAAATCTCTTCATTACTTTGATCAGTAATTTTTTGTTTTCCACCCTGTAGCTGTCTGTTCATTCAGTCCTCTTTTTTACTCTAGAATCTTAATAAGTGTCATTATCTTTACTAAGAATATATTTTCCTCAGATCGCTATATTTGCTCCTTCACATGAACAAGGTCTGTGTCCAAAACCATCCTTAGCATTCTTAGGAAAGACCTCAGGCAGGCTCCTCTGTCATAAATGTTTTAACCCCATAGCATTTACACTTGATGGAATAACTCTTTAATAATGACCTCTAATAGAATGTAACTTCCTTAGGGGAAGGGTCTGGCTTATTTATATTTACAAACTCTCTGTAATGCCTAAAATACAGCAGAATAAGTCTTAAAATGTCTCAGGATATTTTGAATCATTAGAAGGAGAAAGCCAGCAATCTAGGAGAATGCAGCCTTTATCTGAGAACAATTTCTATCTCTGGAATATGTGAGATAAATATCTTTTGAGAAAAACTTCAAAATGAAGTACAGAGAATACTTTTAGTTATCTTAATTTTACAAAATCAGTTGTTTGAAAAATTACAGTGTCATTCTTTTATTATTGACCTGGAGAACTTTTGAGATAATTTCACACCAAGAAAAAACTTTTATTATAGTAGATTACCAGTTATTTAAAAATACACGGCAAAAGGACAAACATACAAAGGCAGTATCATACAATTATGTTTTGAAACTCAGTGTCTTTGAAATACAAAACAATGATTGTTATCCCCAAAAGTCAGTTTATTGACTCAAACTGATTTTTAAGTTGGTCTATAACCCTTTTCACTCAATTTTGCTTATAAATGTTACTCTTTTAATTTCACCTCATATCAAAACTTCACTATTTGATACTTTTCATGTAGTATATAATTTTTCTCATAGTTAATATCAGCAACTACAGGAAATTTTCCTAACTCTAGTTTTCAATATGGTTGCTCTGGAAATAGTTATCATTTTAGGTTGTCTGTACTAAGAACCACGTAGTTAAAGGCAAAATGCTAGTATTAATGGGCAAACTTTGAGGGTTAAGAAGGGTACTTAGCAAAGACTCCATTACTGACTGTTACTATTGCTAGAGAAACAGTTACTGCCAGATCACAGATTGGATGCAGTTGTCTACTTTTTCTTTTAATCCACTTTATATTTCCTTTACCAATGAAACTGCTCAACCAAATAAGTAAATACCTTTAAATAAATATCTTTAAATTCATTGCTTGCAATAATTTATTTTCTTAATTGGATTGGCAGCCTTGTTTCTGCAAAATGGCAAAACCCACTTTGTTCCCAAATTAGAACACTGACTCACAGGCTGCTTGTAGGATCCCTGGCTATCTCTCTCACCAGTCATGAAGGTGGACCTTCGTCAACTCTGTAATGAAATAAATGTAAAAATGACTTAATTATCTTAGCACTGAGCCAGTAAAACCAAAAACATACCATCATAAGGTAGAAACTGGCTTATGTGAAATGAGGGTATATGTCCTTTTCTATAAGAGGAATATATATGGTAATAAAACCTATAATAAACCTACAAAGAGATGATCCCAATTTACATAAGTCTGCTTAAACTGACTGACTGGAAAGTTTCTTTTCTTAACATAATGCCCATTCATTCTAAGTTAAGCTGGTTCTAGTTTCTTTTTTTACAACTCTCTTATTTCCTTGGATTTATCTACCATGCCCTTTCTGCACTGCCATCAATTTATAGGCTGGGCCTGCCCAGCCTATTTTAAAAGCCCCTTCAGAAATATATCAGATGCATTAAACAGAAGCATCTGTGAGAATTCTGCACTTCAAAGCAGCACACAAAGAACCTGGAATGGGACTGGCCCTCTTAATGCAGTAACTTGTCTCATACTGTCACAGAAACTGTGCAGTTTAATAACCACTCTTTCCTTACAGGAAGCTTGGTAGCTGTAAAGCTCATGATTCAATTTCAAAACATTCAATACTTATTAATTCCAAAGATCCGAACACCATGTAGTTGTGGCATTTTGGGAATAAGCACACTCAGGAGAGAAGTTGTGTTTAGGATGAAGTGAGTTGGATCATACTTTGTATAGAAACTTGCCAGAAAATATCTGCAGAAATAAAAGAATACATATAATATCCAAAATGAAATTTATTTGGAATTAAAACATAGATAAAGACACTGAAACTTAAATACTTAGAAGTAAAACCACTTTTGAGCACTAAAATGAGAAGGAACCACTTGAGCTTAGGGCCAAGCTTATTTGACTTAGATTTAAAAGTTTGTTTAATAGAAGTACAGACTTGCTTTTCTACAATTATTTCATATTAACTCAAGGCTCCTTAGCATCCTGTAAAATGGAAGGTTTTCAAACTAGGGTTCTTATGTCCAGGTTTCAGATCTAGTTTTATATTTATGTATTTGGACGATCTGGATCCAAAGCATCCATTATGTTCTCAAAGGATTCTCTGACTCACCAAAAAGTCAGCAATTCTGTAAAACTTTGATAAACAGCCTTTTTTTTTTTAGTATATTAGCACAATTCAGTATCTTTAAAAGAAAGAAATGCTCAGCTGTCCTTTTGAAAGTCTTGATTTTGTATTGTGGTTGAGCCAGTTTAACTGCAAACTTGAGACACTCTTGTAAAACCGTGTTTTACTGTACCAAATGGATGTATGTGTTTAGATGTCTAACACCTAACAATCTGAACAAGCATAAACTATCATAAGGATCATAACTTGATGGGTCTGGAATATTTAGTTTTGTCCAGGGGTATATCAGAACACAGGTACATCATGTAGCTACTAAGAGACTAATGCAATAGAGATAAAATGTAAAAAATGCAACTTCACACCTTACTTGATCATAACTAAGAAGTTAGTTTCTGTACTAGGTGTTTGTTTAATTACTTTTAGAGAACATGAAAACACTGTAATTTTTTCTAGGACTACTGTCCTAGTTTCTTGTAAAGGAAATAAGTATTTTATGTAATGTGATAAAAGAACAGATACTTCCAAGTAGAAGTTAAAAACAAAGAATCAGACTAGTGTGTAGTGCAGTAGGATAAGCTGCTGCCTGCAGCATTGGCATCCCATATGGGCACCAGTTCAAGTCTTGGCTTCTGATCCCCGCTGATGTACCTGGGAAAGCAGTGGAAGACAGCCCAAGTTATTGGGCTCCTGCCACCATGTCAGAGACCCAGATGAAGCTCCTGGCTCCTGGCTTCAGGCTGGCCCAGTCCTAGTCATCATAGTCATATGGGGAGTGAGCCATGGGATAGAAGTTCTGTTTCACTGTAATTCAAATAAATAAATAAATAACGGTATGCATAATTTTTAGACTGCTTTATAGAGAAGTCACTCTTCTTGATTCTATATACTTGAAAAAATATTTTCATACTTTTAAAAGTTATTTATTTTTTTGAAAGGCAGAGAGATAGGGGAAGAGACAGAGAGAATCTTCCATTCATTGGTTCATTCCCTAAATGGCCACAAGGGCTGGAGCTGGGCCAGTCCAAAGCCAGGAGCTTCTTTTGCATCCCTATGTGGGTACAGGGCCTCAGACTCCTGCGCCATCCTCCTCTACTTTCTCAGGTACATAAGTATGGAACTGGACTGGAACTGGAGCAACAGGAACATGAATCCACACCGATGTGGGTTGCTGGCACTATAATCGGCAGTTTAATCTTCTATATCACAATGCTTGCCCCTATGTTCACATTCTGGAAAGGCAGAGCAACAGAGAGATCTTTCAAAGTTCCATCTGTGGATTATATGAAAATTACCTGACTCCTAAAAAAGCCCAGGGGCCTCTCCAAGGGTATACAAGCACAGGTGCTAATCAGTTTGACAACATTCATTTGCCAGGAGATACGCTGGAAAGCTCCACTTGTTAGAAAATAGAAATTCATCATTTAATCTGGTCTCTTTACTCCAAAGACTGTAAGATCTTGAACAAGTAACGCATTTAAATCTTTTTATCTAAAAATCTAGGATAATAGTGCATGTTGCATCTGTGGGAAAAACTTTATGATCACATGTGAAAGCACAAAAAGTACTTTGAAAGCTATTGATGTTGTATAGGCAGATTCAGTCATTTTTCTTGTCACATATGGAATTTAATCAGAGTATCTGATATCATACTATAGGTTAAAAAGTCTTTGGAGAAACATGGACATTGTACACAGCTTAACCTTAGTTGACTGTGTTTTGTGGGGACTACAACTAAAAATTCAGCATGTTATCCTTTCCATGTATTCTAGTACAATTCTCTACATTTTACAAATGAGGAAACTTATTCTTTCCAAAAAAAAGGGGGGGCTAAAAGTCACATAGCTTGAAAGTTATAGAGCCAAAATCCTAGTTTAAGGCTATGTAATTATCATTCTTGGTATTGCACTGATTTTTGTTATACCCTTCACACACTTTTCTTTTGATGTTAACTGTATATGGGATTGTGCCAATTCAAATTCCCCCAAATTCTGTGAATATAAGGAAAAAGAAGCTTATCATCTATGATTAATATATTCCTTTTATTTGAAAATGTTTCAGTTAGTCCTACCTTAATGAATTTGTGTAAGAAGTCTTTCCAGCTAGCCCAAACCAGTGATTCCACTGTGGGTATAATATTATGTATGAGCTATGTAGCATGATGTATTAGTTAACAAGTGAAACAGATCTATAATGTGCAGGTCTTTGAATGTGACTCAAAGCAATTCAAGTAGTTATACTATATAATTTTTTGTCAGTTATCTCTCCACAAGCTGGAGGGGTACAAAAAAAGAGAAAGCAGTTTAGGCAAAAGTGATTTCAACAGATGGAATCCTTGAAATATTTAAGAAATCCTGTGAAGAGCATGACTAGGTACAAGCTGGGTGAGATAAAATATTCACCTAAGGGGAAATGACATCAGTATTATTTTGCCTATTGACAAAAGGAAGAAATTAGACACAAATAACAGATTATATCTTTAAAAGTAGATACATCAGCATCAGGAGTAAGATAGGGATAAGGCATGCAAAACAGTGTTGGCTGGGTGATAGATAAAGGATTCACACCACACTCAGCTAAGGAATCTGGATATGAAATTAGGTTGAGTGTCCAGTGAAACTGCTCTGATCCTCTCTACCATCATTTAGCATTAATCTATAATGCAAAGCCGAGTATGGTTTTGTAATTAATTTTTTTATGAACTTGAGAGGAGTTGGAATATATTTGCTCTTCATGTCTTAGAATTTCTAAGCACGTGGTAAGCATGTAATGTCTGTGTAGTGACTGAAATGAGAACTGGTTTATTACCAACTTGATAGAGATTTTATCTTTACTTTGTATGATAGTTACTTATTGATAAAGTTCTCTACAAAATATTGTTTCTAATTACAACTCAGTCTGATAAAAGATATTTCTTTTATTCAAATTTCTTCATTAAAATCTTACTACTTACAGAATAATTGGAGAAATTGTGAAAAACTTTCGTGAAGATGTAAACTGTACTCCATAGTCCAGTTGTTCCCAATGAGTTAGGAGCCTTGCTTTACCTTGGTCAGGAGTTTCAAAAGGTGTTCCCTTCACTGCATGCAAAAATACATACATCCCCTGAAAAACAAGTAAGGAAGTAATAAACAATTAATATCAAATACAAAATTCAGTTTTGCCTGTAAGTATTCACATGGTTCCAAGGATAGGCGTTTGGTATCCCACCAGTGCCTGGATATGGGTCCCAGCTCTGCCTCTGCCTGCCATGAAAGGTTCCTACAAACCACATGAGACTCCTGGATTGCTGACTCCCTGTTTCAGCCTGGTCAGATGTCCTAAGGGTATTTGTGGGATTAGTCTGGCACATGAAGGGTCTAGCAAGATGAAAGGGGGAAGAAAAAAAATGTATATATACATATATATAAAAGCTCCAGGTTTTGCACTGTGATTTTGCTTAACAGCTCAAGTTTTAAGTTTCTATATAATGGTGAAAAACTGGACGGTTTCTTTGCAGTAAAATAAAGCTTTCTGGAGAATGCAAATATTACTTAGTGAAAATCAGTAAAAGATCAATGAAAAGCAACCCGTTTTCATCCCTTCCTATTAAACTGAAAATAAATAGGATTAGGGTAGCATCACATCATTCCATTTAGATTTTCTAACACTTTTCCTATTAGAAAATAGAATTAATCCTTTTCCCAAGGCACATAAGGAAGCTTTGCTTTAAAAGATAAAATTTAAATTTTGATTGGAAAAGCAGATTTACAGAGGGAGATACAGAGAAAAATATTCTACACGACAGTTCACTCTCCAAATGGCCACAAGGGATTTCCCTATATGTACAGAGTCCCAAGGCTTTGAGCCATCCTCTCCTGCTTTCCCAGTCCACAAGCAATGAGCCGAATGAGAAGTGGAACAGCCAAGACACAAATAGGCACTCATATGGGATTCCAGTGCTTGCAGGCAGAAGTTTAGCCAGCTGAGCCATTGCACCGTTTAGGAAGCTTTTCTTCAGCATGTCATATTAGTAAATCATGATAAATACATACAAGTTGATGAAATATGTATGTCCAAAAATAATAAAATTCATGTTTTTATGCAAAAGGTGTAATACTGAGCTGAATTCATTTTTTTTCAAAAAGTAATGCATTTATTTAAAAGGCAGAGTTACAGAGAGAGAGAGAGAGAAAGAGAAGGAATATTCCATCTGTGGATTCATGACCTAAATGAATGAACAACTATGGCTGGACTAGGCAAAGCCAGAAGCCTGAAACTGGATTCAACCAACATTAATGATTGGCTTATGTGTACAGAGTACAGGACATGTACATTCACATGAAGTTGAACAACATTCTCCACAGTCTGGAAAAAAATTATTTTCTAAGGTTATGGTACAGAAAAAAACTGATGCATAAATAACTAGAAGTCAGGACAGAAATTACTACCAAAGTTACAATCAGAATATTAGGAAAATATAGGACAGAAAGATTCCTTGTTGCTAAGGCAAAAATGTTGATACCAACCATGTCAGCTGCCTCATTTTTGAAATTTCAGCCCAATGACAGCTCCTTAGTGGAACTCTTCTCATTAGCAATAAATAGCACCTGTGTGCTTGTATAGAATTAAATAAAAATAGCTTTAATACAGAACATTATACTGTTTGAGTTGTTATCATAATGCTTGTTTTCCCAATGGCCAAACTATTGAAGGAACAAGTGCTGGTACACAGCAAGTGTTAAATACATTAGAAGGCGACAGGAAGGTAAGCTATTAAACTTCAAAAAAGTTAAGGATTTCTATTCTAGACACTTGTGTGTTAGAATAGAAGAAAACAATCCTCCCACCAGTTCCATCAAACATATGCTCTTCTTAGTGTCAAGAATATAACATTCAAATAGTTTTTTGCATCTCTTCCAGGAAAGATTAAATTGTATCTGACCATATATAATATACCCTAAGATATTTGTTTTAATAATTTGCATGTAAAAATACTAGTGATTATACCTGCCCTAAAATAATGAAGAAAACAAAGCAAGTATGCCATAGTTAGTCCTAAAAAAATTTACTGAATCAAAATGAATTCTCATTCATTTTTAAGGGTAGGCCAAGAAGCTTGTGAAGCATTAATATGCATCTCTACGAATAAACCAATACCAGATAACCAGTGTAGTTTTCCACTCATATACTTTCAAAGGCAAATACTATATATTTTCCTCTGAAGGTAGAACAATTAGGCGTTATATTACTTTCCCATATTTCAAAGCATTCAGTGTGTGTTTCACATGTTTAATTGGTTTAAAAGTAGGCTATCTTCAAAGGAAATTTATATTTGGAGTCATGTGATAATGACTGCATCTATGGCTAGTTACATTAGGTTTTTAGCGTGGTGACCTAATAAAACTAAATCTTCCAGGGTGCCAATTATCTATTCTTTGTCCTTCACTTATAATGTGCCTCCATCTCAGTCAGTACACCTCAACAGGTGGGCAGAAGATGGCTTCTCAAATATATTAGGACATGGGCCACTGGAGAAGGAAAACGACTGACTTGTTCAGGATTTAACTATGTCACTGGAAAAATTATTAATTATAAAGCTAAGATAATGGTAATAGAGTGGTAATACATGGCAATAATAGAATGCAGGGGATTATGATAGCTGAGTAGACATTTTCAGGAAATGAATCAGTTGGGAAGGAACGATATTAAAACAGTAGAAAAGGTTAAAAAGGTCAAAGCAAAAAGATAAGGAAAAGATGATTATCCACCAAGGACTTAGGAATGATTTGAACAGACTTGCACTTAAAAAATAATGTGGAAAGGAGGAGGGTCAATTTGGAAGAGCATTAGGACCATTTCTTTTATTATGTAGCCCACTCAACAGAAAAATGAAGAAAAAAGATTAAAAAAAAAATGAGGGTTTGGGGATTAAGTTGATTGACAAACAACAACAAAAAACAGTAGAACAGGGCATTGGCCAAAGGATATGAAATATAAAGGAAAGGTGGCGTTATCCTAAAACAAGTTTGGCCATATATAGTGTTAGCTTGCACAGGACAGTTCTACTTGACACTTTGCCTGGAGTAGTTATTGCAAGAATCCCCCTGTACTCCTGCAACAGCCTTAGCTTGGATGATGTACTGATCACTGTATCACTGACATGAAATTGGCTAACTTGACAGTGATTCCTCTAAATAAAATTAGAAACAAAGAAGCAGACTGAGGGTGGTAAGGAATAAATCAAGAATGAGATAAGTTTGTACTTATTTGGTGTAAGCTTGTAGGGTGGTCTGGTTGTATAAATATGATCATTATTCTAGAGTAGGGGGCATATCACCATGACACTGGGATAGGAATGGAGCTGGAACTTGAACCCAGCACTCCAGCATGGGTTGTGGACATCCAAAGTGCCATCTCACCCCTGCACCAAACACCTGTCTCCATTCTAACCATTTTTGTAAGCATAAACTTCAGCAATATTAAATGTTAGTTAACCATCACCACTACTGTCCATCTCTACAACTCATTTCATCTCATTAAAAAAAAATACAAACTGTATCCTTGAACAGTAATTCCCCATTCCTTCTGCCCCTTAACCTGCAGGAACCACTAACTTGTTGAGTGTTGATTGTAACGTGGAATTCTTACCAGATTATGTATAATATTTGTTAAGGTCCAAGCAACAGGAACACTGAAGAACGGAATGCTGAGTAAGACTATATGCAGCAAGCCAACTCCCAGTGTGTATGTCAGCCACATGCCCCGGCTGTTCATTACGCGCGTGTTTGGATTCACCTCACTGTGAGCAACTCCAACATTCATGTTTGCTCTGTAGGGAAGAAATGGTATCAGTCGTCATTATATAATTCGAAATTCAAATACCACTAATTGTGACATGACAAAGTGTTACCAGGATTCTTTGAAAAAGACTTGTTTAGAGGTATGTTCTATATCCTGATCACTCTTAAATGCCCTCCAAAGCTGGTCCAGGGCCAAGCTGAAGCCAGGAATTCCCTCGGGTCTCCAACTCCAACTCGGTGCAAAGACACAATTGGGCCATCATCAGATGCCTACCGCAGTGCATTAGAAGGAAACTGGATGGGACTTGGAGTAGCCAGGAAGCAAACTGGCCCAGACACAGGATTGTGCTGCAAGCCGTGAGTTAACATGGTGCTGCCACTGTGAAATCCCAGAATTTATTTCTCCCTAGTTTATCTGAACTGTAACAGAGTCTCCAAAGTTTGCTACTTGGAGACGCTGAGGTGACACAAAAATCTTCAATGTCTGAACTTACAATAAAATAAGACGTTTTTGAAAGCTTATTTTTAGCATATTCATTTTACTAAATGAAATAATGGTCAGGGAAACTAAATGAGAAAATTAACATTTTTGGGGGGTATCATGAGAACAAATTAAAAAGCAAGGAATTGGGCCTGGCGGTGTGGCCTAGCAGCTAAAGTCCTCACCTTGAAGGTACTGGGATCCCATATGGGCGCCGGTTCTAATTCCGGCAGCTCCACTTCCTATCCAGCTCCCTGCTTGTGGCTTGGGAAAGCAGTCAAGGACGGCCCAAAGCCTTGGTACCCTGCACCCGTGTGGGAGACCTGAAGGAGGGTACTGGCTCCTGGCTTGGGATCGGCACAGCACCGGCCATTGCAGTCACTTGGGGAGTGAATCATTGGACGGAAGATCTTCCTCTCTATCTCTCCTCCTGTCTGTATATCTGACTTTGTAATAAAAAATAAATACATCTTTAAAAACTCATGGGTGGAAGATTTCTCTGATTCTGTCACATGACTTTCAAATAAATCAATCTTTTTAAAAAAAGGAAACAGAAAGCACCCAGGCAGTATGATCTCAGTAGCCAGACTCCTCAGATTTCTAGAAGGTATCTATAGAGTGGTGGGAGTCCAAAGCATTCCTTTTTGTTTACACGGTGAAGGGATAACTGTTTCTCAGTTGTGTATCTAGTCAACTCCTCTAGTTCTTATTTCCTCCTTACCCCTTTACGTTCAAGATGAACAACACAGTGCCAAGTTTCAAGTTATCTCAGCGATGCCAATTACTTGGCTTTAAGAATTCCTTAAACAGAATCAAACTGACTAACCATCCTGGGGACGGGAAAAACGGAGCTGGGTAACACATGGCCGAAGTACAAATACTGACACCCTTTCTATTATCTAAAGAACACATGGCTCTGATGTACAAATACTGAAACCCTTTCTATTATCTAAAGATGCATGGAGAGAGCAGTTTCTTAATCCCCTCCAGTATGTGTTGCTGGCGGATAATGTCCCCTTTGCCTGTGAAGATCTATGGAGCAGATATCAAGGTATATGGTGATGAAAGCTTCAGTCTCCAATTTGCATTATAAATCCTTGTTAGCTTTTTTTAATGGTACAAATTATACTAAGAGCATGCCATCACTCAAGATTGATTTCCCACTTGCCACAGAATGGAGGTAAAATGCTCAAAAGCAACCTAAGGTTTGCAAGAGCTGGAAGACAATGCTGGTGTGGTACTCACTGAAGGCCAGAAGCCCCTTCCCAGCAGGGATGTGGCGCCGCCTCCAGACCCGCAAACAATGGATTTGCAGGCTGACTGGAGGCTCTGCTCAGCCCTCGTCGGCGAGCGCAGCCGGCCCTTTCACCCTGTCCCGGTCCCCCTCCCCGCCAAGGAAAGCTCCCATGATGTCCTCGGTGCCGCGGCGGCTGCGCCGCGCCCCTCACCCCTTTGCCCTCGCGGCCGCACATCCCAGCAGGTTCCTAGCACCGGGACCGGGACCCGGGGGTTACCTGGCCCGCACAGCCCGACAGAGAGCCGCGGGTGCAGCCGCAGGCACCTCTGAGCCCTGGGACACACCGTGGTCCGTAAGCTGCCGCCTGCCGACAAAGGCCTCCGCACAGCCCCGACCCCGTCCGTGCCTGCTCACCACCGCAGGTGGCCGACCCGGCGCGGGACCTTCCCGGCGCGGACGACTGTCTCACTCTGCGAACGCCAGAGCTCGGCTACGGCGCTGCGCAGCTGGCGGAAGCCTCCAGCGTGAGCCTGCTGCCAGGCGATTGGCCGCGAGGAGCGCCAATCCCACGTTAACTCTGGCAAGGCGGGACCAAGCGCCCGGTACCCGCCCCGCCCCTCTGCGCGTCCTGGGCGCCTGGTGCGCAGGCGCGCACGGAGCAAGGGGCGGCATCCCGAGAAGCGCAGGCCTCGGTTCCAGGTGGGACGCTGCGTGCTGTCTGCCTGTGGACGGCGATTTCCTGCCTCGCGCGAGCAGGAAGGTAGTGTCGTGTGGATAACGGGCATTCATTCGGATATTCTCGTAGCCTTGGGGGCTCCTCATAGCTCCTCCAGGTCTGAGCGCTCTGCACCGGCGCCGCGATGGGCGCCTCCCGGGGGCGGGAAGCTGAAAGCGGGCTCGCGGGCGCGCACACGTGGCTAGCGTTCCCTGGGACAGGTCTGGCCCCTTGCCGCAGCCCCCTGCCCAGACTTTTCTCGCAACAGAACTGAAAAGTTGCTTCCTAGATAGAAGTTTCTATCCATGGCAACCGTAGCTTGACTGTAGAGTGTGGCACTTTATATAATGTATATTGTGGCATCACTTCAGGGGTACTTGTAAAACTTTTTAGTTAATTGCGTTTTTGTTTTTTTTTTTTACCCATGTCAATCCACATTTTCCTATACATAGGATGTAGGCTTTCTGTACCGCATCCTGTGAAGGCCGAAAGTTGATATTATTTGAAAACGGTGAAAAGCCTTGAGTTTTTTGAATCAGCTTTGAAACCAACTTTTCTTTACCTTGACACTCCACAAAATGTGTCATTTTTATTGCTGAGGTAACTTTCAAAAGCACTTACAAATTGAAATGGCCAATACAGATAGAAATATATCTTGCATTTCTGTCGAGTCTTTGAAATTAATTGACTTAACATTTGTTCTCAGGAAGTGTGTCTGTGTTGCTTTCTGAGAGCTGTTTCTTCTTTAGGTCCACTTGCTGTCCTCAGCGGGCGGTTCCTGGGCCTCAGGACCTTGCAGGAGTGTTCCATCTCTTGACAGACATGGAAGGCTGATGATCCTGGCCTCCTCAGGTGTCCTGGGCTGTCACACGGAAGCCTCACGTTAATCTTTCTCCAGTCTTCAGCAGAGGTAGACCACTGTCTTCCAAAATTAAGTTAGGGATATGTAATATAAAATCCCAGTCTTCAAATCACCATGAATTGGGAGGAAGGAGCGAAACAGCAAACGCAATAACCTAGAGTCTTGGGTTAGAAATACGGAAAAGGTGTAGTGGGAGGACAGGACAAGGAGTGCCATCTGTTGAGAGTACAGGAAGGGAAGTTTGAAACAGAGAAGAAAGGATTTCTCCTAAGGAGTTAATACTTGAACTAACTGGAAGGTGGCCATCAGTCATCCTGGAGGGAATTGTGTGAGCTGAGGAATGAACAGGTACCATCAGTCGGGCAGTATTAGTGATGGTACATTTGGAGAATGGTAGGATGAAATTGGAAAGGTAGAGAAAGCTTCAGTTGTTAAGATTGTTGGATCTAACCTGGTTAGCAGTTGGGAACAGCTAACTGGTAAGGAATAGCGACATAAAGAAACTGCAGTTATAGGAACAGCCCTGCCTAGTATGTGTGATTATGTTTCCAGTCAACATTCCAATTAAGTGGTTTTTCCAATAGTTCAGTGGGAAAATGTTCAGTGTCTTAATAGAGGTAGTAAAGAGATAGGACTAGTTTGAGAAATATTTACATATTGGAATAGACAGGCCTGGGCACTGGCAAACAGAAGATTTCTAGGTGACTTCTAGGTTTCTAATTTTGTTGTATCCAATAGGAAAATGTTTGAGGCCCTCGCCTTCAGAGACACGTGGTGGAGTATGCCTCTGTTGTTTAATAATTTTTTTTTTTAAAGATTTGTTTATTTTAATTGGGAAATCAGATTTACAGAGAGAAGGATCTTCTATCCACTGGTTCACTCCCCGGGTCGCCACAGAGGCCACAGCTGAGCCAATCTGAAGCCAGGAGTCAGGAGTTTCTAGGTCTCCTGCATGGGTGCATGTCCCAAGGCTTTGGGCTGTCCCCAACTGCTTTCCCAGGTCACAAGCGGGGAGCTGGAAGGAAAGTAGAGCAGCTGGGATATGAACTGGCACCTATATGGGATCCCATCCCAGTACGCGCAAGGCGAGGACTTTAGCCACCAGGTTACCACACCAGGCCCACACCAGGTGTGATCTTGAGCAAGTTTTCAAGCCTTTAAATCTCATTTGTTGTTAAGGAGTGATAGTAACATGAAAATGTTATGATGTTTAAAACTGATAATGTGTGTAAAGGGTTCTATGTAATCTTATTATCATCAGAAATATGTGAAGAACATAAGTTAGGAAAAAATAGACTCTGAGATCATTTGGGGACATGTTAAGTCTAAGTTGCCTCAAAGTCGTCTAATGTTATGTAGCAGGTAGGTGGATAGGCCCAGGAGGAAGTAAGCTTCTGGAATCCAGAATAAGAATGATGTTTGCAAATGGAGCTGAGTTAGGGGATAATACAGAGCCATGAAGATGAAGTACACAGATGGGATGAGTTAGGGCAGTTGTGGTCTAATGAGGGGAGGCCACTGCTTTCTGCTGCTACACTGGTGCCCAAAGAGTGCTGATGAACTATTTGTAGTGGTCTTTCCTCAGTCTTCATGGAGCGCTTGTAGTGAGCCAAGTCTGGTGATTGCTGTGTGTAGCATCTAGAGTTTTGTACCGTATGATTCCCTGGACTCCCAAGTGGTACACTTCACTTTAGAGATCTGATCAGCCTCCCACAAGCTAGGCAACCACCTGCTTTAGGAATGTGTGGGGGCTAAGGGGAAAGGTCAGTCCTAGTTGGGTGAGCAGAAAGGATTGCGTTGTCCAGCATGTGGAATTGGGTCCAGACGGATAAGAAGGAAGTAATTTTGCAAATAGAGAAGGATTGCTGGCCAAGGAAGAGTGAGGATTTTGTGAAATAGTGAAAAGAAGTGAGAGTGCTAAGGGGAAGGCATCCATAAAAGTCCCTTTTTACAGATTTTTATCTGAGGTGGCAGTGGCACTGTTAGAAGCACCTGTTTTAACTTGGTAAGAGAGAAGGGTTGCTGTTAGGGAATGCAGATTTCAGTATGGGTTTTAAGATACCCAAGAAGAAGGGAGAGGGTTTGCGGAATGCTCACATTCTCAGAAGAGAGTGAAGCAAACACAGAAGTCAAGAGGTGTAGGTGAAGAGATGCTTGAGAGTGAGCTGGCTTCACTGCCACTTGCCTCAGGGAGGCCGGGCAGCCTGAGACCTGAGGACAGGATCTCATGGCTAAAGAGATGATTGGTAAGCTCCAAGAGGGAGAATCCAGTCAGGATTGTGGTGTCAGCCACTCTACGGAAGCTGTAGGAATGAGTTGGCAGCAGGGTACTGACGACCTTAAATACTGGTTACTGACTCAAGCTTGGCTTCATAAGGAGAAAGAAGATAAATGCTAAGGAAAAAGCATAGAAGGGAGAGAGAGGGAAGTTTTCTCTTGGTGAGTTCACTCTACAAATGGCTTGGGGCTGGACCAGTCTGAAGCTGGGAGTCAGGAGCCCTGGTCTGACCTAGGTGTCAGGAGCCCAATGATTTGAGTCTTCTTTCATTGCTTACCCAGGCTCATAAACAGGGACCCAAATTGTAGATGCAACAACTGGGACTGAGCCTGGTACTCCCAGGGATGCTGTTGTCACAGGTGGTTCTGCACCACAGTGCCGGCCATGGTGTTACTAATTTTATGGAACAGATTATATGCAATCTGAGCCCATAATAATCATGGTATATTGAAGAAGTACCTGGGGTTTTCTCCCCCCGCCCACTTTTTTTTTTTCCCCAAAGAAATTCTTCACTACAGCAGGGTTGGAGAACCTTTTTCTGCCAAGGGACATGTGGATACTTATAACATCTTTGGCAGGTTATAAAAGGTGTCAGCTTGAAAAAATCAGCCTGCTGTAAACTTACAGACTTTCGAGTTTTGTCTGCAGTTGCCTTGGAAGAGTAAGACCAAATAATTTCTCTGAGCTTATACATCCTTTGGGGCGGATACTATCTACCCCTGTTCTAGAGGAATTGCAGAATGCTAAGCTAGTGCTTATTGTCTCGAATTAGGCATTCAAGACATGCTACGCTTTGTAGTTTTGTCTGTATGGAAATTCCATATGATTTGTTTGAACGAAGCCTTTTTTTTTTAAGATTTATTTATTTTTATTGGAAAGATGGATATACAGAGAGGAGGAAAGACAGAGAGGAAGATCTTCTGTCTGTTGATTCACTCCCCAAGTGGCCGCAGTGGCTGGAGCTGCGCCAATCCAAAGCCAGGAGCCTTGAAGCTTCTTCCGGGTCTCCCATGTGGGTACAGGGTCTCAGGGCTTTGAGCTGTCCTGTCTTTTCCCAGGCCACAAGCAGGGCTGCCGGAATTACAACCAACGCCTGTATGGGATCCTTGTGCATACAAGGTGAGGACTTTAGCTGCTAGGCTACCACACTGGGCCCTGACCAAAGCTTTTGTATGTAAAATTATTACTCCGCTATAAATTTTGATCTTGCCATTGGCTTGGCATGAAAAGGACCTCTAGGGGCCCCCAGAGATTTAAGCTTTATTTTTACCTGCTTTGGGGAATTACATGACTGTAACTGATGTTTTAGGCAAAGTAATGAAAATGATAATTATCTGACACATCTACGATCTTTATAGTCCAGATTAACAGTAATCCTAGAGTCTGGATATCCTTACTTCAGAGGGGCTCAGCGATAGAAAACCACATTGTAATTAATCGGAGTATATGGGTGACATAGGATGTTTATGTAAATTGTTAGCGAGGCACACAACCAACTTCATTATCCACATGCCAAAGA